CTCAAAACACCTGAGGGCCCACCCGTGGTTTTTTACCAACCCATCTGTGGTAGATGAGCATCAGTACTCACTTAAAATAAACCACAACCCTTGTGGTCTTTTCCATCACACATGGTTGTAGTTTTATTTTCTTTGGGTCTTCCCTCCCTCCCCCGCATACTCATATCTACATGGACAGCAGATATGTGTGTGTTTTTGTGTTTTTTTTCTATATCTGCTATAGATTTGGCTGTCTGCTCTTGTTGTGGCTATAGGTGACTCCTGATATTGCTGACCAGTTTAGACATGGTTGGAAAAGAACCAACACCTCTGTGTGGATGCCTGCTCTTCCTACTTGATTTGAAATATTAAGATATGTATGACCATGAATTAACTAAAACAATTAGACATTGAAACAGTAAATATGTGAGTTCTTTATGGCTTTCAGAAGTCCGTCAAGGATAACATAAGGAGATATGCACAGGTTAAAAAGAAAACAATAGTTTTATTGAAACAGTACTAAAAGGTTCAAAATAAATGAATACAAGAGTAAAAATATGTAAAAAAAGCTTCCATGATTTGAAGGTCTGAATACAGATGGGGTTACACAGATGATGATAACAGAAATGGTTAAAATATTAACTTACAGTATTACTTATTTGTAGCCAACCATAAAATTGAAGTCCCATCATTATTTCAATTGTAATACATTTGAATTTAAGGAAATATTTAGATACTGTTTAGAATAATAGCTTAATTCTCAAGATTTATAATGTGAATGTTGAATTTATATTCACCCACAGCAAAACATTCAGCTGGGTGTAGTCCAGATGAGAATGTACTTAATCATCACAGCTGTGTCCGGTTTTTCTTCTGTCAGTGCCTAAGAAGTGAGCAAAGTTCTGGCCTTGGGCTGAAGTTGGTCCCTCAAAGGAAAGGATTTTTTCTTTGCTCTTCTAATTCTGGACTCCTGTTTGTCCCCCAAGCCCATCTGCACTCTACGGGTGAGAGGGCCTTCTCTGGAACTCGCTGGAAGTTCAGGAACTCTATTCCTAAGGAAATCAAGGAGTCACTTTCCCTAAACTCCTTTGCTATTAATCACTATTAATTTTTAAAATAGTTATTAAAAAAAATCTACATTTAAAAAGAAACATTTACTAAGGATCACAATAGGATTAAGCATTCCATTGTGAAAACTGGAGGTGGGGCCAAGCAAACCTTAAAACTGGATCATTAAGAAAATGTAAATAGGTTATGGATGAAGACTATTTGATTTGACTTATTTGCCAAATACTAATGTTTTTCTTCACTCAGTCTTTTTGTTGGAATAGTGGAGAAAGTCGAGACATACTGCTTACCGGAGAGTCCTGTCTCTAAGGAGCTGACTCGGTGGAGCCAAGATGTGTGGGTTTATTTTCCATTCAAGACCACAGAGAGTTTGAGACCTTGCTGATGCCATATGTTTATTTTATTGTCGCAAGCGTAGAAACTGAAATTATCTTTTGATAATAGATTTCAAAAAGGTGACTCCATATTCGTTAACCATAACATTTGTAAATTTTACTTGTTCATTGCTAATTTACAATGTTGATTTCCACAATAGCCTTTGCCAACTATGTAGTGTTGGCTTCTTATTTCTCCCTCAATGGTTTTAATCTCTGCATGGTTTACCATATCCATCTCCTTTCCTGTTAATCTCTACTATATTAGACTACTTCTGAATAAACATGATTATTCCCAGTTGTCTGGATTACTGTAGGATGTTATTTGATATATCTGATGCCGTATACCTGTGATGAAGTTTTATGCCATGGTTTCGAAAATTAAAGAATTTCAAAGGCAGAAGAATTAGTCTGCTATCCTCTGTTGTCAAGCTCAATAAAATGGATTTGAATGATTTTATTCCCAGTGTTTTGGTTTCCAAAATCATGTTTAAATGTAAAAGTCTTAGGCCCGTTCTTCTGTGTATTCTGTTGTTAGACATAGTGATTATCTATGCAGGAAAACATGTGGAGATGCAAGAGGTCGCTGTGGTTTGATGTGATTTTAAATTTATTGCAAAGGGTCCTGGAAAATCAAGTAGAGAGATAGTCTCAATAAACCATAACTCTGAAGCGTATACATTGTGGAGTACCTTTTATGCACAAACTAAAGAAGCGACTAGACCTTTGTGTTACCATATAAAGAAAGGAATGTTGTATCAATGTAACTTGCGCAGGGAACCAAGCCATTCCATCAGGAAGAAAGAATACCTTTGGACTCCAGGATGACCAGCTACAAAGAATGTTCAGCTGCTCAGGATGTTAAACATTTCTCAGTGATTGTGTCCTGATCACCTTAAAAAGTGGCCTGTGTCACCACAGGGTTACGAGACCTCAAACTGAGAAAAAATAATTCCATGAATTTACCTGTTATTTGGTATTTTAATGTTCCCTTAAACACACTAAAATCTTGTTAAATGCTAAAAAAAGAATTCATAATAGCACACTATATCTTATTAACTTATTTCTTTGCCTTCTCATTAGCTTGTAAAAAAAACTTATAATTCATTAACATGCCATGACGGATATGATTGGAATGGGTTTTGTTTGCCATTAACTGGCATGAAATGTAACTTGTACTGTCTCAGTGGTGTAAATAACTGTGACAATGAACAAAATCAAACCAGCAAAATGATTTTGACCTTTTCTTTGCAGTTTGTAATGTACTTTTAACAATGCACTTAGTTTGATTTGTAACTTTATGGAGTCTTGCAGTTGTCTGTGTGAAAGAATGAGGCAGAACACTTAATATTCTGAGAACATCTGATGAGATTCTGTATCAGTAACATATGTTGCTGAAAAACATTTAACTATAAGCGCATACAAAACCATTTTTAAACTAGTTGACACTCCAGGCCTTTGTGCTGGCCAAGGTTCCTGACAAAAATCTAACTGAAATATAAAAGCATTAGCCATAAGCTCTAGGTGTTTCTGGAATGGCTGACCACATTTAGACATGCGATTCCTTTGGTTTATTGGTATTTGAGGTATTGATTATCTGTTTACTAGGAAAATTGCTCATATGGGCGTCTTAACCACGGAAGGAAATTGAACAAAAAAAAAGGTCAGTTACCACTTTACATGTATGTATATGTTAGCAGTTTTCAGATTTGTAGTGGCATATTACTAGGTTTGATTTATAGAAAAAGTGAGGTGTTCACATTGTTGTAGTACATTTGTCTTGAATATGTTTGAAGCTATAGGCTGAAGGAAATTCAAGATTTTCCTAACCATTTTGCGGTCTCTTCCTTCCCCGTTTATCTTTAGGTTCTGTTAATGAACCCATCAAGGACGATTTATGTCTGATAAGAAAAAGACATTCGCACAGTTTATAAAAATAATATTTAATATGGCACATTTCAACATGTGGATGATGAAAGCATTGGGAATTTCCATAAATTGCCAATATCTTAAGGTAAAGCTCTTAACACAATGGACCCTGTAGATCTTCAGGGTATCCTGGAGGCTGACACAGGGTCAGATGAATAGAATAAACTTAAAAAAAAAATAAAAGTGTTCAGTAGATTGAACTGTTGTGTAAAATCTTATTTCATTTTTAAAATAACACAGAACGGCTTTACTTATTGTGTCAAATTTATAACTCAGACTAACTTTTTGAAGTTCAGATTTAATAGGTTTGCATTGTTGCATTAAAGACGCAAATGAAGGGGTAGTTCAGGTGGGGAGCTGCATCAGCATGTGTAGGCTGCAAAGGAACAAGCAATAGGTTTATTCCATGCTGAAAAGAGAAGAAAGAACAACTATTTAGGCTGTGGAGCCTTCTTCGGGTGTAAGAAAGATAGGGCAGTAAGCAAAGACAATTTAGCTTTGGAAAACAAAAGTCAGGAGAGAGGAGGAGCCAGGGGTAGGGGGGAGGCAGAGTGGCCAATCAAGAGGTGCGAAGTCGAGAGATGTGAAACGAAACCTACAAGTGAACAGGGAGAATTAGAAGAAAACAAGTCGGTTGAGAGGAGGGGGAAGGTGTGAACCAAGTTTCAGGATAACTTTAGTTTCTGATGTCTTTCTGCTATAGGAGTTAAGAAACCCTACTTTGTGAACACAGATTGAGGGATCATTGTGATCATGGCTGTCAGAGTTGAAATGAGAAACTATAGGCTTGGAGAAATCTCTTCACAGCCCTAACATGTTCTCTGAAACAGTCTCTGAGTCTCCTTCCTGTTTCCCCAATGTTGATGGGCATTTACTGCAAGAGATACAATAAATGAAGTTGATAGAGGTAGCCATAGGTTGCCTGGGTGATCTGGGATTGTCATGAGGGGCCTTGAATGAGTGTGGTGTTAGATATGTACTTGCAGGTGATACAGCGAGTTTTGTTGCAGGGGAAAGTGCCAACGTTAGGGGTAGTTATATTTTCTTCTTGCATAACATTAAGCAAGGACTCAGGGAAGATCTATTATCTATACTATAACTAACCTAGATAATGTAAAGTTTATCAAATTGTCTAAATGATGCAATATTATTGTTTTAAAATATTAATTAAAAAAAACATTTACCATTACCATAAGATTAAGCATTCCATTGTGAAAACTGGAGGTGGGGGCAAGCAAACCTTAAAACTGGGTCATTAAGAAAATGTAAATAGATTATGGATGAAGGCTATTTGATTTGACATATTTGCCAATTTCTTATGTTTTTCAGCACACTCAGTGTCTTTTTTTTGTTGGAATACTAGAGAGTGGAGAGTTCAAAATTCAACCCTAGGAATGAAACCCCCCCCAGTCATTCTTTTAAGAATTGGAGTTGGTGAAATTAAGCTATTTGTACTAGTTTTTCCAACATTTTTCTTTGATCTGTAGTCAAAACGCAATTGATATTTTTGAACTGGTAGTTTGGAAAAAGATATAGCTCCTTTTAAATGTGTATTGCTTCTGAGAAAAGAACATGATTTATACTTATCAGTGGAATTTCTTTGTTTTTCCCCCATGATTGTGTAAACTCTACTTTTTTGTTGTTTTTCAGATCTTCATTCTTCCAGCTAGACCGCCTCAAAGACTAAAGAAATGATGAGCAGTAAGCGGACACTGAGCTATATGGATCCTGTGGTCCACAGCAAGGTGCCCAGGCTAGAGAAGACTATAGATCACATTGTTTCTGCTGGCCTTGGCAAGCCAGGGACCCTCCCTAGATATTCCCTTGAAGATCCTCTAAACTACAGTGGGTCTTATTTCACCTACTGCCTGACTGGTCAGGAGGGTAGAGATCTGCCTCCTCCATGGAACCCCTCAGGAACATGTATGCCAAAAGTAAGGAATCCAGTTGTTCACCCCTTGAATGCTGAGAGGACATTACCAAATGGATTTATGTATCGATCAGAAGAAATTGGCTTTCCTACAGAAAACAATCCTGCAGTTGTGCAAGACCTGATTGCTGCAAAAGAAAAATGTGCATATTTTGGCAAAAGCCATGAAAACTCCAAGCATAGCCCAAATACGCAAGGAATCCACACTCCAGTGGCTATAAGAAAGCTAGCTGTAGGAAGTGCCACTGTGTCCTCACAATCTGAAAGCTCTGTAGGTTTAGCAATCCCTAAACCTATTTATGGGCAGAGTCCTTGCTGCACAGACCATGGATATAAATCAAGAGCCTGTTACAACCTTGAACGTGGAACTGACAGTGTCCAGCATGGTTCCTTCGAGGAGGAATGGAAGCCAGTTTCAGGATTACGTTACGGTCCTATGTCTCCCATGGATAAACGTGAAGAATTAATTCAGCAAAGGGTTCTTCAGTTTGAGCAAAATGCCAGCAGAAGATTTCAGCCTAAGGAGGCAAATTCTGAGGGTTTCCATGCAATACGCCCATCTGAAGCTATAAGGCTTCCATCCTTCATAGATGCAGACTACAATAGCTTGCCATACAACGGTGCTGCACGGTCATTCTCTAGTCCCTCTTCCCAGCGATTTCATAGTGTGCAGATTCCTTCTAAGATGTATCATGGCATACCCACATCTCCTTCAAGAAACTATAATGAAGTGCAACAGATACCTCTCTCTCACTCTCAGATTTCACCAGCTGTCTACCAAGAAAGATCTTCCATTTCCAGATATCCCCAGCTACCTCAGAGGCATGTATTTTTCTACCCTCAGGGAAGTCTGGATATTGAAAAAGGTACAACTTTCAAAGGTATGGGAGAGCATTTGGAGCAAACCTCACCTACACTAAATAAGAGTACTCAGAATCCCACAGAACAGTATCTTGTTCCCCAACCTTACTATACTGAGGTTCCAATCCCTTATCCCATGATTTCAACAAATGTGCCTTTCCACAGGGATTATGAACTTGCACCCTATCCAGTATACAAAATTCAACCAAGCTCAGGACGTAAAAGGGTTTTTTCTGAAGTATCTGGAGCTCCTCTTCAAATGCAGCTCTCTGATCGGCCAATGGATTTCTCTTCTGAAAAAGTCAGAATAATGTCTCCCCCAAGAGAGTTTAATAGGCAGCAGCATACATCTGGTGCTTTTCATCCTGTGCATGCTCGTACAGTTATTCTAAACCAAGAGAATATGCCTCTTGCAAAGCAAAAGATGGTTGTAAATTCCAGAATAGTATCAAGCCCACAAGAAGGAATACCTTTCTGTGTAACTGGCTACCCTCATGAAATGACTGTTCCTGCGGCTAGACAGAATATCTCAGGCTTGGCAGAACATGAGGTGTCTGATGGCAGTAATTACAAATTGAAAGACCCTAAAGATTCTGAAGAGAGAAATACACTTATGTCACCTCCTTGTAGGGAACCAGAGGGCGGTGAAGATGTGTATGAAGTTGTAGTTTCCAACAATCAAGAGAGAAAGAAAATGGATAAGCTCCATCTTCCTCCTTCACCTCCCATGCCGGTTATCAACAATGTTTTTAGCTTGGCCCCTTACAAAGCTTATCTAGAAGCCTCAGGAATGCTACCTCTACCAGACATTGTAAAAAGTGGGTCACATTCTAGTGCAGATGCACACAAACCTGAACAACGAATGCAGGAGAAAGTAACAAGAACTCTGTCCAAAAAAGATTTGGAGGAACGTGAGACCATGGAGCATGTAAGCACAGAGCAAAGCAACCTACAGGGCAAAAATGGTTCATTAAAGATTAGTGAGAACAGGAGTGATAAGTTGCAGCATGACATCCAAGACAAAATGGTCAAAAAAGAAGAAGCTGAAGCTGTGACAAGTGCATCGGATTGTCCTCACAGTAACACAGTGCTTGATCTCCGTGTGAAAAAGCCTGGTGAGTCTGGCAGCCAGGTCCAATCATTAACGGAAAATCAGAATTTACCAGTGACCGACTCAAGCACTACTGAGCGAAATGGAGTTTTGGGAGAATCGGCAGTGACCGGTAACATCGGAGCATCAAGGGCTGTCAGTGTATCCAATTTCACGCAAAAGAAATTTCAAATTATTGCATCACCACCTCCAAATCCAGAGACACTATCCCATAAACCCAGTGAATCAAAAATAAGTTGTTTTAAGCAAATTTCTGCTCACTGTCTCAAGCTTCCCACTTTTAAGATAATCTTACCTGATGTTATCAAAAATACTACTCAAAGTGCTGCGGAAATACCTTCAGCCCCTTCAGCATCTCCTGAGACCAAGAGCAATAGTGAGACAACCAGACATGCTCGACACCACTTTATGGAACTCCATCAGTCTCTTTGCAGGTTGATCGCCAGTTCTATTTCCGAAACATCCGAGGAGGAATTGAAAGCATGGCTTGCAAAAACTGAGGAGAACTCTGAGTCTGTGTCACCTTCCACTAAGACCCAAAACATATCCTGTATAATGGGTGCCATAGGGAGGGAAGTGTGGTTGAAATTTGAAGATATCGCTGGTGCACTCAGACGTGTCCTTTCTCAGCTGGAGGACTATATTTCCCGGAAGCAGTGCCCTTTCCCCCATGTTATCCGAACAGGGACCATTTTCATTCCAATGGTGGTGGTGAAGGAGTCTCTTTTTCCTAATGTTCCAGGCTCTTCTATTGATCAGGTTCTACAGGAGCATCGTGTTGAACTCAGACCCACAACACTTTCTGAAGAAAGACTCCTTACACAGCTTCAGAAGCGTGGCTGTTCTTCCAAGCTTAGGAGACTTTTATCTCTCAAACAGCTTCCAGACATTTACCCCGATGTGCTCAACTTGTACTACCACTCCTGTGTAAGAAAACACCTAGGTGAGCTATTGTAATAAATATGTTGGAATGCAGTTTTGTTCCTGGGGCTCTGCCCCCATTACATTATCAGTGTCTTCTTGAATTAATTGATTGATTCTTTTCTTTGTGATTGCTCATTTTATAAGTCGGGCTGCAATGTTGCATTTAACAGTTAGATCAGTTTGTATTTAACCACTAAATACTTATTTAGCCATATTTTTTCATTGCATAGCAGTATCTGTAAATGGAACTATTTGCCTGTAGAGGCATGTTTGTTTTATAGTCATTCCTTTGAAAACGTAGTGCTTTTGAAATACTCTCCAGTCTGACCCTACTAGGTTTATCAAGTTAAACCCTTATGTATTTGGTAAGATTGTCAAGTCTCAGGTGAGCATCTTAACAAGTATGGGACGACTGATTAAACTGGAACTGTTATTGCTTTGTGTATATACAGTATAATATTATAAAATACATTGCCAACATACATTTTAAATTGTTAAATTAGATTCTACTAAGAGGGTAAGTGTAAAGTACCCTATTCTGTGAACACAAGTATTTGCAATCAGAATCATAATACTTCAGATTCTTTAAATAGTTTGTTATAATGCAATTTTATTACATTAAGTAGACTTTGAGGTTTAATAAGATACTATTTTTTTCTGCTGTTTTTGAGTCCTTGTTTGAATTGGGTTTAACAATTGGAATGTAAAAAAATGCCAATGAAGGAGACTAGTATGTTAAAGTATTCACAAGGTGAAAAAGGAAATGGTCACATTTCCTGGATTTTCATTTTATGAAATGGTTTTGATATCCCTGGGTGACAATGAACGGAAGAAAAATATTTACACAATGTTAATGATAAACTATTTTACTAAGTAAAACAAAATCTTGACTCCATTAAAAGTGGCATTTGTGATCTTTCCTTTACATACTTTTATTTTTAATTCTAATTCTTGAATGCTATTAATGATAGTGTAGAATAGTGGCTGGGGTTTGGACCTGGAACTGGAAGTTTTTTGTTTTCAAATCCCATACAGTGCATTGCTGCTGTACCCTTGAGCAAGGAGCTTCACCCAAGCAATTAGAATAGATGCTCTGCTGTATAAATAGGTCTTATAGGTCATTGTAAATGAGCGTTTTCCCCGAGTTGCTTGGTAGAATAAAGGAATAATATAAGGTCTTTTTATGAAATGTCACATTTTAAACCCTTTGAATTAGACACTATTTATATATGTGATTAGTTTCATAAGCCAAAGTTGTTCCATTAAAGCTACATGATTTTTGTCTTTTATTTGCCAATGCATCTATTACTATATACATAAGAACATTTTTCGAATAGCTAATGATGAGTTCTGGGACTAAAAATGCTTTAGTTTTTGTAGTCAGTGGCACAAAGTTACATGAAACTTTTTTCATTAACATGCATTGTAACCTTGAATATCTAGTCTAAATGTGGGACAGGAGCCATATTATTCTCTGTGTTATGTAGTCTTTCCCTTAAACACTGTTTTTTTGTGCCAGAAAACATCAGCAGTATCATTTATCATGGTTTGGATTTTCTATAAACAGAATGACCTTGTACTGCATGAACAACAGAAAAAAGCATCTTAGGTTACTTAATTTTGATCAGCAGGATTTGCTCAAAATTGTGGGTCTTTTGAAAAGCATGGTGGCTGAGCCCTGTAGGCCATTGTATAGTTTTGCCTTTGTCAACTTTAACAGAAAGTGCAACTCCTTTAAAGAAAGTACATCTCTGTAGAAATTGAAAGTCGACATGCCTGCGATTATCACATCTGCTGTTGGTCTGTCATACTTCAATCCATGATGCATCAGCTTCCCTTTTGTGTTGCTTCATTAATCTAGAAGTGCTCTTGAACTTTTTTAATTGTAATAGGTTTGCTGGCAACATTTTAAGAATTTAATGTAGGGTTTTCCAATCCTGGTCCTGGAGGGCTGGTGTGTGTGCAAGAATTCTAACTCCCTTCAAAACACACCTACCTAAAAATGCTGAGTGAGACTATTAAATTGGACTTCCAGATTTAGATCAGTATGCTTAATTTAAAAATGAAAATCTGTCAAGATGCTGGTCTTCCATGACTAGTATTGGTAACCCTTGATTTACTGTGGTAGGAAGCTTCATTTGAGTCCAACCTGAAAGTAAATTAAAAGATATAGGAAAAATATATATTTTTTGTTTATCAAGATTTAACTATAGGGCAGCTATGAGCTCATGACTTTGTATTTTATAAAGCGTAAAATAATTTTCCATAAAACATTTTTAGTTTTAATCCTGAACCTACATTTATTTTTTCGAAGATGAAAACACTGACTATGCAGGTAAATCAAGAAAACTAAAAACTGGAAAGAAGTTACTGAAAGTGATCAGCAGTGCCTTCCCATGTAAAGACTATTTTTTGCCAAATCTAATACTGATTGAATCTAATATTGGGTGGACCTACTCCTGTCCTGGATGGCTGCTACCATAGCTGAATTGAAAAGATCAAATGCTTTTAATAACTAAATTCAGCTCATTATTGGTTAAACTATATCATTTACCATCACCTACCTGCTCTTCAGGTACTACTGCTATAGTAACCTAGAAAACCTGCCTATCGGTCTTAAAAAGCACGAGATGACGAAAGCATACCCTTGCATATTAGATTATTGTAGCTGATTTTAATGAGAGTATACAAAATAGACAACATGGATGATTTTTCATGGTTACTTCTATATCGCCATGTTATGGGGGGGAACATAAACCTAAATGATTCCTGTGAAGTTGCAGGTTTTGCCCCAGGTTAGGGCCCATCACAGTTTTCAGTGCTTTGAAACCTGTTATGTGTAGGATTACGATCTCAAATTAGTCACTAAACCATTGTCTCAACTCGTCTGGATGATTTTTGATGCTATACCCATCCCACATCTTATTTGTCATCTGTTGGATGAATCTAGAAATCTGCAGTTTGTTCCAAGTTTACTCATGTAAATTTATAGAAAGCTGCAGGGCTTATTGATTTAATGCTGTGTAATCAAAATGTATGAAGTTGGGTTTTTGGGTTGAAAGTAGATGCATTTTTAAATATAAAATATTATGCCAATGACCAAAGACACTTTGAAAGCTCTTAAAAATGGTTTGTTGCATAATTCAAAAGGCTTCTTGAGTTCGTTGAAGGGATTACACTGAATTTGTTTAAAATAGTAGCATACAAATCTGTAAATCTGTGCTTGTTAGTACAACACATGGAATTAACAGTTTAGAAATCATTTAACTGACTGAATCATGTTTAGTCTTCTGTAATTGATTCACCAAGGTCTAATCTTTAAACTTAAGCACCTAAAATGTCCCACAGTCATGTCATTGGTTATGCAACCTGGATTTTAAATTCACAGAGAAATCCAGCTGATGCAATATGTCTAAAGGGCATAAATCTGCAATACTCACTTTTTTTTCTTGTTTTCGATATTGGAATTACATCTTCAGGTTTAGTAGATGTAAGAGGTTACATTATGTATTTCAATGTTCAGTTATGAAATTGAGAATGATTCTTACATCTACTAAATGAATGTAAATTTAGTGATTCATATTTGATATCTCATGTTCATACATAACGGACACTTTCCTTGCGGAAATACAGAAAGATTTGTAGATATAATTTGGTCTGGTTTTGACATTGCACAACTGCACATTTTTATCTGTTACTGAAGTGCCTCGCTGATTTTGAATCCTCCTATAAATGTTAACTTAAGAACTAAGGAAAACTATCGTAAACTGTAAAATAGTAGTGAGGCGTTCTTCATAATCTATTGTCAGGTTTTTAAGTTAAAATATTTGTAAATGCATTAGCACAGTTGATATTGTTGGAGTGTTTGCATAAATAACATTATTCAGGTCTCATAAAAGCCTTTTAAAATGTTTGAGTAAAGTATCAAGTAGCTCGATAGTTGTCAAAAGTAAATGAAATTTGTTTTCTGTGTCGGTAATTTAGCACTGTGGTGATCTGACTTTTGGTTGATTTGTTTTCAATGAAATAGAATATAATATGCAAAGGTTATTTAGTTTTTGCTGATCTATGAAGAGTATATTACATGAGTTTCCTTCTATGAAGATTAATTTTATAACACTTTCATTTAAAAAAAATCAACTACTAATATCCAATTTAAAATGAATATATTACTTAAATACTGATGATGGGAACAGAAAGGATCCTTTTTCCACATCTGCATATGAAAAAAAAAACTTTCATTAGGGTTTTCACTTAATTTAATGACATATAAACAGCCTGTTTGGCTCAGGGGGACCAGTCAAAAAAATGAATTGCAACTTTGTCCAAAACCGAGATAGAAGGCCCTGTTTGTGCTGTATATTAGTCTTAAAGTGCCCTTTTTGTTACCTTTCTGAACCATAGTGCCGTAGGAAGAGCTTTACACAGTCATCAAACCTGCTTGTTTTCTGTACTGGTGCTGGAAGAAAATATATGGTTCTTCTAGCTGAAGCCAGCCAACAGGACTTGTGACCGCCCCTCTTCAGAAAATTTCGAGCCTTTTTCTAAATTCAGTTCAGTTCTTGCCTTTTCAAGAGTTTAAAGGTATTCTATAGAACTTAATTTATTTGAAATCCCATTTATTTCTTGCAGATTCCACTTCACCAGCTGGCCTCCAAAACTCAGTCCAGGTATCTTTTATTTTTTTTTCCTCCAGAAGCACTTTTAGTGTAGGTCAGACCTCATTCAGACTTAGCTGTGGACACTGCAAGGTCATTTTCAAGATTTGATGAACATGTATACATTGTTGAAATAGGAAGGTGAAAATAATGCATTTAATCAATACAGAAATTATTAGGCCATACCAGCAGGAAAGGACTGTTTCTACAATTCACAAACATGATAACATAATCCTGTGATGCATTTACAAACAATGTTCTGAGAAGTAGGCTTGTAAGAAATGCCAATATACAAAAGCAATTGTTCTAATTGCTTGAGGGCTACAATCAAGCGAATTGCTTAGTCATTGATTTCTATATAACACTGAAGCAATTTTTAGTTGTGGGTGTTGAGAAATATGCTTCAGAACTGACCTTCGGTTCACAGTATTTCACATATGAAACACAATGTGTAAAAACGCAAAAGGGATTGACGTGACTATTCTTTTAAAAATTTCTTTAAAACCTTTATGCTTTAAACCTGTCATTAGTTCTAGGAGAACCCTTTAAGAGGCTTGTAATGTGCATGTATTCAGTAACATTTTACCTGTATCCTAAATTAGGGATTCTTGGTTTTTCTGCTTTTGAAAGTATTCTCTTTTTTTTATATAGACCAGTGATGTGAACATTGGTTTCTGTATGTCCTTGGACACTTGTTTAAGTGTTTTAAATGCAATTGATATCTGATTGTAACTGGGCTAGTTGCTAATGTCTTAAAGGGTGTTTTAATAGCTACCTTTTGTATGAGTTTCTTTTTTATAGTATATAAAGCTTTATAATATTGCTGTGCTTGTCTTTTTAACATTGTACCCATCATGAACTGACCACTTTCATTAATCTGGGACTGAAAATGATGAATGCCCTTCCTCTCACTTCATCTTGTCTGGTCATCGTCAGTGTTTTTTTAGATTGACATTGCGCATAATGCTGTGCAAAATTTCAAAAAGCTTATCTTTATGTTCCTAAAATTACTACTAAGTGAACTTGAATGCTTTAATGTTTGAAGCTGTGTGCTACTCCAAATTGTATGTAATCAGTTTTACCCATTTACCCAGAACCCTTTATGCTCTTTGAAAGTGGTGACGGGGTTGTGGTGAGCAATCTAACTGCAGTAATCAAGCTTGAATGTGCTGTCGCTTTTGAGAAATATTTTATGCAAGGTGTGTTGGCTTCCAGGTATTCAGGAAAATAAATTGGGAAGATAATAAGAGTAAATTATTCCACAGATGACCTGTTGCAGCATGAGTGTCTTAAATTCGTGTCAAAATGTCTTTGAAATGTGGGGACTTAATTGGTACTACAAAAACAAAGCTCTTATTGGTAAGAAATGTCCAATGGATTTCATAACTTCAGAAAACATTTTGCTTTGATGTTGATCAATATTTAAGTGCAATTTTTAATGTCAATGCGAATTAAGACTATTTATGAGAGTAAACTATTAAAACTTAGAATGTTTCCTTTTTATTTCAATAACTGAAATGGCAATTAACTTTTTAAATTACAGCTGCATAGTTTCTTTGTATCTTGTGTGATTGTGATGTCATGTGCACAGTGGTCCTGCAAGTATGAACCCTTCGGTTGTGTCCAATGTGATACACCCATTGTCATAATTTTTCTGGCATTAGTTTTGCTCTGCCAAAATACAAATATCCTAAAATTACAGAAAAACCTTGCCAGTTTACAAGGATTACATTCTTGAAAAAGCTTGTAATCTGCAAAAATGCATTGTGCAAATAGAAAGGTATTTTCCCTAGCAACTTGACTTTCTCAAATAAAGGCATTATTTTCCATCTGCTTCACACTAGAGCCATAACGACCATCTATTTTTTCTCAGAATAACCCCACACAAAAGCCAAGAGTGATGTGAGGGGTCTAGAACTTTTAAAACTGCCCTTATCTGCTGTTAATTTGTGGAGAGTCACACTGCAATGCTCTAAAACAAACCATTTCTATACATGCAGCTCCACAAAAAAGGCCCCTCAATATGCTAAATAGTTTTCAATAAGTTGACAACAGTAGACTGGCAAGGTTTTACTGTACAAATAAACATGTTTAAAGATTTCTCCTCATTAGAAATATTATTTTGCTAATGCCAGTAATAAATTACTCTATAATAACTATATAATAATAATTACTAATAAATGTAGTCTTTTTTTCCCCTAGGTATCAGAATTAAGAGGCTTACTGATAGGTGTATCTGCATTGTTTTCCAGGGAAAGAGGTCGACGCCATCGTGAAAACGGAGAAGGAAGAATATCTGGGAGATAGCTTCCAACCACCCAGCAGGACATGTTCACCAGAAGGCTTTCGAAATTCACAAGCTCCTGAAACAGTGGGGGACTTAAAGGACTTGAGAAGAGGGACTCACTTCAAGAAGCAGAGAAGAAAAGGCAGACGGAAAAGTGCTTTAAAGAGAACTTTTTGGGGGAAAGCACGTTTAGGTCAGAGTGGTAGCATGAAATTCACAGGTAATTCGGAAAGCTCCAGTGGAGAAGACTCAGTTTGTCAGGATTGGGAAAGGGTGGAAAGCAGTTTCAGTGGGGACTCTGAAAAGCTAGAAGTCAAGGTAGAGGATGTTTCCTCCAAGATAATGGAGATAAAAGAGGAACCAGAGAACACCTCCATTTGGGGGCCGGTTACGTCGGATGATTTTTCCTCAGGGAATAGTGATGGAGAGACAGAAAAGGCCATGGTGCATTTAGATAAAAGGAAATCTTCATTACCAAGAGAACTGACATCAAAGGAGGTGGTGTCTAGTGGGACACCAAAAAAACAGGTCTCGGTGTTTCAGAAGTACCACTCAGGTGTTTTACTGAAATTTAAAAGAGATACCAGAGGAAGAGATGCAAATTTCTGCCCAAAGTCAGACCCTGAAATACACGTGCATTACAATAAATTGAAAGGTCTTGCAGGAAAAGTAGAGGAAGGGGAGAAGAACATATCCGGGCGAGTCCGTCCAAGAGTGTCCCAGCAAAGGAGGAGAGTGCCTGGTATTGTGGAAGCCCTGCGCCCCACACGCAGTACCTCAAAGGTCTTGCACCTCCGCAATTCTATGGTGCAGATCAAATTCCGACGTTACCTAACTGTCCAGCACAGTGTGCTGCATCACAGTGCACAACGACGGAGAAAGAAAGTGGTGCGGTCAGCTGTCCAAAGGGTTAGACAGGCCATGAAAACCAAGTACCCTGAGCTGGTTGGGAAGCGAATTCGACACTTGTATGAGGAGAACGATAAGTCTGAGGTGTGGTACCGCGGGGTAGTGGTCCGTGTATATGAGCCACACCCAAATCCTTTGAAAACTGTTTATGAGGTGAAGTATGACAGTGAACCTGAGTGGCAGTACTACTTGGAGCTTCTAATGGATTACAAGAAAGGATGGCTCAAAGTGGAGGATTGAAGAACTCTTGAAGGACTTGTTTGCATCTAGTGTGCTCTGGTGAAATTCGGTGGAACATATTAAACTGGTACTTGTTTATTGTATTTCTAATTGCGTACTTCCTGAAGATAAATCTCAGCGTTGATCAAGTGAAAGACTTGAATAGTTGTCTAAAGGTGGCAAAAATACATTTTTGACTGCTCCAGACCTATATGGTACAACAAATATGCAGTGTTTCATTTAAATATGCAAAGATGCTTTGAAGAATCATGTAAACAATTTCAAGTAAATCTGTTTTTTACTTCTACTTATTAACAATAAATTAATCTAAGCCAATATGAAAGTATCAATACTGTAAGAAAAGGCATCTAAACAGTACTGTATTTTCTCAGTTGGAGGGCTTATGGGTGTGTGCTGGAGCATGTTAAAAGCACCTTAGTTTTTTAGTTGTCATATTACTGAAGTACAAAAAGGGTGATCATTTTTATATTCTAGAATTATCAGTGCAGAATTGTAGACTTTATTGGAAGAGGTGGTAAAGATTGCATCCAAAAGAGGAGTTCAAGCTCAATTAAGGGATTGATTTAGCCTGTAAATATTGATTCTCCAAGGTGAGTGAGCAGTGTACACCTTTTCAGAGGATTCATTTTAGAATTTTACTCTTGACTCATCAAAATTACTCAGCATACAAAAGCTACATTTAGAAGTAAAACTCACTGGTATACTTCAAGTCAAATCCCCAACAGGATTCTATACTTGTATTATTATGGCACAGTGTAGCTTGTAACAAATTTACAAGAAGTAGGTTTTTCATAACGCAATATAAAATTATTTGAAGCACAAAAATGCAGTGATAAGTAGGTTGCACATTATCTTGACAAGAAATGTCTGCAAATTGAAATGTATGCTCCATACACATTGTGCATGTTCAAACATGTTTCTTGCATGCATTTTACATGCTGATGTACACAACTGTCAGACATTCCTCTCATTCAAAGTCATCTTGAAATCCAAATTTAAAACAAAAGGTTAGTGTGCACAAGTGACATTTTTGGCATTGCTTTCCAGTGTTACAACTGTTGTAAGTTTTGCTTCTAGACAATGCGCCCACATTTTGCTACCTCACTGGTGAATTTTGAAGTTGAAAAAGCTTTCATAATCCAGGCAGAAATAAATGTGACTTCAAACAGGTTTTGTGAAGATGGCGTGGAGTCGTGACGCATATCCAAAAACGTATGAATTCAAGATCCTGCAGGTTCTAGGACTAGAGAGGGAACATGGAATGTGGGTGCATTTTTGAGCTTGTATTAGCATTTAAAAAGGCATAATGTATTGAACAGCCATTGTTGATCTTTTTGTTAAGGAAGAGTAGAAGTAGAAACTTTTCACTAGGATAGGAAGGTTATCAATGTCTGAAACAACGGTGTGCAAGTACAGAATGAGTGTTGTGAAAAATTAGCACACATAGCAGAAAATGAAGGAAGCATGTTAAACTATGTACAGTAAACTACTTCTTTTTGGTGCATTTTTATGGTTCTATGAATCCATCATCTTGTAAACTTTTATGCAGTTCTGCTTTTGGGTCACAGTGTAATACTTTGTTTATGTGCATCCCGCCTTATTCCTGTCTTATTCAAATCTCAAACTGTGTTGAGGACACATTATCCAACCCTTTACTTGGGGGGTGAGTGCACAGTTACAGACAATGTTTTTGAGATTCACAGTGTCAGTTCCTTTAGCCCACAAATGGGATCTTTCGTACCGAGTCTCTCCTTTTTTCAGTTTGAATTGTAATGTGTCAGTTGGGTGAAATCTAAATCGGGCTACTCTTTCAGAAGGTGGTCTGTACCTGAGGACAACCATCTCAAACTTTCAAATACCAGGCTTTCCAGTCGAGCTTGGAATAAAGTACAATTTTGGCTCCAATTTCTCTTTCCCTAAACAACTCTATTTTGCGACTTATTTTGTAGTTCCCCATCGCTGAATGTCTTAAGCTTCATATCAGCACAGCTAGAGAAAATGCAATAAAATCCAAGGCCAAAACCAGTCCCTGAAAACACCAGCACCCCTAATTAGGTAGACTACATCCAAATGTTTCATTTTCAGCTAGTCCTGTTTTTATTAACATTCTTAAGTAGACAAAACAAAACTTGTCTTAGAAATGTCTTGCTTGTAAGGGAGAATACAAGTTTACTTTTTTCAATCCAGTCAGTTATTATATAGAATAGAAGTGTTATCTGTAGTGAACGAATAATTTGGGAATTAATGAAGGTCGTCTGCCATTGAGTCAAGCAATTCATTCCTAGGAACTCTGGTTTTATTGTATATAAATTTATTTGCATTTCAAGCGGTTTATACTTCTAATTTATTGTTTGTAACATTTTACTTAAACATTTTCAATAATTTTTTTTTATAATTGACTCTTCAAGGCAATGGCAGTTGTGTGTGTAAAATGTTTAACACCCGTTGTTTGTAAAATATATTTCCCTATCTAAACATTTTTGTAATGATTACATAAAATAAAAATTATCACTAAAACTGTTCTCGTCATTGATTTGCATTTTGTGAGCCACACTAACTTGTACAGAATGAACATGCAAGAAGTCCAGTGTTTTAATCTATTAATAGTTCACCTGACTTGGTGGCTCACAACATGATTTTGTTTTCAGTTAACAACCGTTAACCAGCTCTTTTATATTTTTTAGACTTTGTCCTTTTAGGAGATAGATCGGTTTACTTATGGGTATAAAATCATGGTCTGTAACTATAAAGCACCAGTTTTATCTGCATTTGGTTTCATTTCATTTTTAGTTCCACTTCTAGAATTTTCAGTCTTCACATTAATGATTTACTTCTACCTACTTTTATAATTGCTTTTTATCCTCATCTCCCGCTTCAGATTTAAGGCTATTTAGATTGTTCACACTGCTTTTTGAGAATGTAAACTTGAAAATGACAAGGAAAAGGCGAGAGCACCTATACAAGAATGTAAACTATTTCATTGTTTGGTACTTCATTTCAGTAGCTTAATCAAATGTGAGATAGCAACAGAACTATTTGGATAACATACTGGCCTGGCTGAAGAAATGGCACGTGGCAGCAAGGACAGGCTGTCAGGACACCTCCAGCTTCTCAAGGAATAAGCCAAGGAGCTGCTACAAGGATGAAGATTGGGTAAGAGAAGATGCACAAAGGAGGTAAGACAAATATAGGAGAATGGAAGTAGGTGACATTAGAAGCACCTAACCAAGGTCCTCCCAAACTTGTTTAAAAATTCCATAAAGACAAGATCGAGATCAAGAGTGGTTACCAATAAATTTAGAAGTTTCAAAAGAGCTCAAATTTAGCTGTTTACCTTGGAATCAGTCCAGATAGGAAGCAGTGTCATTTCTGAGCCAAGCCTTGTATTTGCACCTTATGTCTGCAATATTCTATAGATGTTTTTTTGGCATCTTTAAAACATGTTCACATCTGTACAAATCTGATGCAAAATGATGAATTCATGCGTTTACAATTTCCAGGTTTGATTATGGTAATGTGCTTGTGGATGTATCAAAACATGTTCTTAAGCGCTGGACAAGTTGCTGTTTGGCCGATTAGATCTTAACTAAAACTGAAATGCCTGAGCATAAATTCAACTTCCCTTTTTTATTCTATTGTTCCAAGCTTGTGGAATGATCTTCCGGCTCATTATCTCATTATCAGCACCTTCAAATCCTGTTAAAATTGAGCACCAGTTAATAACAAACTTCAGCCATTTCTGATGCTACTGTTACCAAGGTAATGGGGGGGAGACTACCTGTTTGGACATTCTCAAGGCCTTGAACACTTTGAATGAATGACTAGTCTCATCCTCCCTTAGTTAAGGAATCTAGCCTGCTCTTGGAATCTCTTATCAGTTAACTCCCGTTCCTGCTGTAACTCAAAAGCGGTGAAGCATGGAATATTTTGTACTAAAAGAAGTCTTTGTGCAGAAAGAAGTTAGTTAACCCTCTTTTCACATCTCATATCTTTCTTTAGTCCCACTCTTAGAAAATATGGTATGCTTTCAGTACTGCCTATTTTCTACAGAAATGTTAGAGCAGATCGTGCCTTCTTAGGAGTGCAAGCTTGCCTCACCATGACTTTGTGAGTTACACAATTACAGCAAGATGGAGATCAAGTGACGATTACAATTACACATAAGCAATACTAACCCTACAAATAGATACTGTGACAAAGTTACGGCCCAGGACCCACAGACCTCAACCAAGACCCAATTCCCCAATCTTCAGTATAGAAGTGAAGTGGGACATGTGTATATATCTCACTCCAGCATCACACTATCACCACTTAAGTACATTGTGAGAGGTGTTGATGGGGTCTGTTTAGCCTCAAACAAATGTTACACTAAGATGCCATAAAGCTGACTTTCTTTAGCAGTCCCAGTGGCTTAATGCTACATAATAAAAGAGGAACAACACCCACAAACAGGACAACGCAGACCAATGTCTGTTGCATATCAAAGGACAGAACCTAGAGCAAGACAGAGTTGGACTAGAAGTAATTACATATCAAAGAACAGGACAAGCACAGATTGTGAAACAAACTTTCTCCAGACTGTAAGAGCTGGGAAACCCTTGCAGTTTGTCTGTTGTGTGGGGCAGACCCAGCGTGCGTTGTTGGACTTATTGAGCTCAATAAAACTCAAGACAAGACTGTGTCCTGCTCCTCTGGTGAAGAATTTCCCAGAGCAGTAGTCATGATATTTTTGTCCCTTTTCATAATTGTGCTGGGCCAGATCGGAGATGTGCTCGGAATTATCAGGAATATAGGTGCAGCATTCAGTGCCAATTGCTGCACAGGTTCCCCCTTGGGCAGCAAATACTTTACCCCATGTTTCCCTTTAAAGAAATTATGTTCACTAATCCTCGTAAGACATAGCCCCACGGGAACCATTAACAGTAACGACTTCATCCTGTCTCCAATGCAGGAGATCCAATGATCTTTTCCTTCTGCTCGAACTGCAGAATCAGTGGTCAACCCACCTTGCCTGGAGAGCTTGTGAGGGAAATTTCTTGATCTACACCCGCTCGCCTGGAATGAAGTCATGCCCTCCTTCAGA